GAACAAAAGGAAGAAAACCCAACATTCTCCTTGCTGTTGAAACTTCACTGATTCCATCAAAAAGACTCCAAATGTGATTGGATATGAATTTATACATAAAAAAGATTTAAAATACTGGCTTGGCAGATCCTTAGTGTTAGAAAGGATCTTCAGAGTCATCTAGTTCAAAGTTTTCATGAATCCTTAGAAAATGTAAGCAACACGGCAATTCTCTGGGTGCATGTACACTTGCACATATGTGTATTTCTGCTTCTTGTCAGAGAGTCTGAGGCTTTCATGACACCCTCACAGAGTCTGAGTCTCAGAAAGGCCAAGCCCTGCTGGTGGTGAGCACCATTCCATGAACAGAACCCCAGATTTGCTGCTCCTGACTTCTAGTGTGACTTTTATCAAATCCTTCTCTCTGAACCTCAGGCCTGCTTTTTATTTCTTCTAGAATTGTTATAAAGCCCCAACAAAAGCACTTTTGGATCATAAAGTGTCCTCTAAATGTACAGCTGTGGCACTGAACTGTAAAAAAACTGCAGCTAGGCAGGGTGCTTGAGTGGTCTGCTTGAGAGCTGACAGCAGAGCCCTGACACCCCCATCTCCCAAGGCCCACTCAGTGCACTGGCCCCTCAATAAGGGGCCACAGCTTTTTTTGAGAACAAAATGGCCCCATACCAAGACCATTCAGTGGAAAAAGCATAGCCTTTTCAACAAGTGGTGCTGGGGTAACCTGACATCCATGTGCAAACAACTAATTCAGACCTCTAACCCATAACATACATAAAAATTAGCCAAAACTGGATGGAAGACCTAAACATAAGAAATAAACCTATAAAACTCTTAGAATAAAACATAGGAGTAAATCTTCATGTTCTTGAGTTGAGCAAAGCATTCTAAAATATTGCACCAAAAGTATAAACAACAAACAAAAAATTAGATGAATTGGACTTTTTTACTTCATAGGACACCATTAAGAAAGTGAAAACTGTTTGTACACCTTAAATTTATACCATGTTATATATTAGTTATATCTCAATAAAGTTGGGGGGAAAAAATAAAAAGACAACTCTCGTAACAGGAGAAAATTGCAAGCCATGTATCCAGTAAGAGATTTTTATCCAGAATATATAAAGAACTTTCATAACTCAATAATAAAAAGACAAATAACCAGTCTTAAAAATGGGTAAAACATCTGCATAGACATCTTTCCAAATAAGATATACCAATGGCCAATAAGCACATGAAAAGATGCTTAACATCATTAGTCATCAGGGAAATGCAAATCAAAACCACAATGAGAAATTTGTGTGGAACCATGAAAGAATCCTAATAACCAAAGCAAAATCTTGAGAAAGAACAAAACTGGAGGCATCATGCTTCCTGATTTCAGGCTGTATTATAAAGTTATAGCAATCAAAACAGTATGGTATCAGCATAAAAACAGACACATAGATCAGATGAACAGAATAGAGACCACTGAAATAAACGCATACATAGATGATTGATAATTTATGATAAAGGATTCAAGAATATACAATGGCAAAAGGACAGTCTCTCCAATAAATGGTATTGGGAAAACTGGACAGCCAGATGCAAAAGAATTAAACTGGACCACTATCTTACACCAAACACAAAAACTTACCCAAAATAGATTAAAGACTTAAATGCAAGAACTGAAACCATAAAACTCCTGGAAGAAAACACAGGTGGTAAGGTCCTTGACATTGGCGTTGGTGATGATTTTTTGGATCTCACACCGAAAGCAAAGGCTACAAGAGCAAAAATAAACAAGTGGGACTACATTAAACTAAAAAGCTTCTGCACAGTGAAGGAAACTCTAAACAAAATGGAAAGACAACCTACTCAGTGGGAGAAAATATTTGTAAATCACATATCTGGCAAGGGGCTAATAACCAAAATATATAAAGAATTCATACAACTCAATAGCAAAACAAACAAAAAGCCCCAAATCAATCTAATTTAAACATGGGTAAAAGATCTGAATAGACATTTTCCAATTGTATGTTGGACATACACATGGCCAAGAGGTACACAAAAAGGTGCTCAACATCATTAACCATTCGGGAAATGCAAACCAAAGCCACAACCTTACACCTGTTAGGATAGCTATTATCAAAAAGTCAAGAGAGAGCAAGTGTTGGTGAGGATGTAGAGAATAGGGGACCCTTGTGCACTGTTGGTGGGAATACAGGAATGCACTGGTGCAGCTACTATGGAAAACAGTATGGAGTGTCCTCAAAAAATTAAAAATGGAACTACCATAAGATCCAGCAATTCCTAAGGAAATGAGAACACTAACTGGAAAAGATAGCTGCATCCTCATGTTCATGGCAGCATTACTTATAGTAGCCAAGATACGCAAGCAAACCAAGTGTCCACCAATGGCTAAAGGGACAAAGCAGATGTGGTATGTATATGTGTGTGTGTGTGTATGTGTGTGTGTGTGTGTGTGTGTGTGTACCATTGTTTATATATACACAATGGAATATTAGTTATAGGGAAGAAAGAAGGTCTGCCATTTGCAACAACATGTAAGAATTTTGAGGGCATTATTATAAGTGAAAAAGGTCAGACAGAGAAAGACAGCTATTGTATGATTTTACCTATATGTGGAATCTGAAAAAGGAATGGAGGAAACAAACATGCTCATAGATACAGAGTTGCCAGAAACAAGAGAGTGGAGGTGGTGGACAGTAGGTGAAATGGGTGAAGGTGGTCAAAAGGTACAACTTGTAAAGTGATTAAGTCATGGACATGTATAGTATGGTGACTGTAGTTAATACTGTATTGTATTATTTGCAAGTTGCTAAGAGAGTAGATCTTCTGGGTGGCTCAGTTGGTTAAGCGACTGCCTTCAGCTCAGGTCATGATCCTGGAGTCCCGGGATCGAGTCCCGTATCGGGCTCCCTGCTCAGCGGGGAGTCTGCTTCTCCCTCTGACCCTCTTCCCTCTTATGCTCTCTGTCTCTCATTCTCTCTCTCTCAAATAAATAAATAAAATCTTTAAAAAAAATTTTTGTAACTGTGTCGTGATGGATGTTAACTTGACTTATTGTGGTGATTCATGATATATACATAAATATACATGATATATACATTAATGATATATACATAAATCATTACATACACTTGAAACAAAGATAATATTATATGTCAATTATACCTTAATAATACAAAAGAAAACCCCAGTGATATACAGTTTCACACTCCCTCAGATGTCTAAAATTAAAAAGACCACAGTAAGTATTGAGTAGGGGTGGAACAGTTAGAACACTTATTTACTGCTGGTGAGAATGTGAAATGGTCCAGCCACTTTCAAGAACAGTGTGGCAGTTCCTCAAAATGTTACATGTTTTATACAAATGACTCTACTCCTAGGTACATGTCCAAGAGAAATGAAAATATGAAATCAGTCACAAAAGGCCACATATTATGATTCCATAAATATGAAATGTCCAGAATAGGTCACTGCATAGATACAGGAAGTAGGTTAGTGGCTGAGGGGTTTGATGGGAAGATAGCAAGTGATTGCTAATGGGTACCGAGTTTCCTCTGGGGATGATGAACACATTCTGGAATTAGTTGGTGGTGATGATTGCACAATGCTGTAAATATACTAAAAGCCCGTGAGTCATAAACTTTAAAAGGGTGAATTTTATGGTATGTAAATTTTATTGCAGTAAACCATTATTTGAAAAGAATAAAGTAACCCCAAATTGTGTTCTTGGCTTAAAAGATAGGGGATGAAACATACTTCTATCCTGTTTTATCTCACAACTGCTGTGAGTTTTACTGACAGGCTTAGATGACAAGGGTGTAGTGCTCTTGAGTCAGGTCCATGGTCAGCTGTCAGCTAAGTTCCCTAAATACCCTGTACATAGACAAGGCTGCAGCTTGTGCACAGGTGACACTCAGGACTAGCAGCAGTGTAGGCCAGTAACCTCCTCACCCCAGAGCCAGGTTTTTCCTGGTGGGGATTGAGGTCATTCACCAGGCAGCAGGGAAGCATCTCTGCATTGTGCCCAGCTGCATTTGGCCTATAAATAAACCAGCAACAAAGATTTTTAGCCTTACTATTTTGGGACATTTTAATATTAGGTTAGCTTGTTTATTATGTTTAGACATAATTTAAGAAACAAACATATCAGTCACATTTATTTTTAAGGAATATGTTAAGAAACTGCAAAATACTGAATTATTCCTTAACACCTTCTTTTTGGAAATCATTCAGTTTTATACATTAGCATCTTACTATATTCAGTGTGTCTCATAATTAAACAATTATATATACATATAATATACTAAAAAGTAATTCTTGTATTTTAGTTATAAATAGAAAATAAAACAATCTTTTAAAAAATCAACTGTGTCTAAAGCACATGTTCTCAAACTTTTCCAAGAGTAAAAGTCAAATGAGACTCATTATAAATGTGGTTTTGTAGGCTTCCATCCCCAAGAGATTGGTTCAATCTGAATTTTTAGAAACCCCCCAGATGATTCTAAGGAGCAGGGTTTGCACTTTGAGAAACACTGCCTTAGAGACTTCAGCCTAGAATTGTTCTTCATTGGGGCACCTGGGTGGCTCAGTTGGTTAAGCATCTGCCTTCGGCTCAGGTCATGATCCTGGAGTCCCAGGATGGGGCCCTGCATCGGGCTCCTTGCTCAGAGGAATTTGCTTCTCCCTCTGCTCCTCACCCCGCTTGTGTTCTCTCTTGCTCGCTCTCTCTCTCAAATAAATAAATAAAACCTTTTTTTAAAAAAAGAATTGTCTTCATTTTAACATAGATAATAGGTATTTCTTTAGATATTTTCGGCTATTTGATGTTAGAAATAGATGACATTCACGCTCTTATTCTGCTATTAGAAAATAATATTTTGTCACAAGCATAACATTTCTAAGTATGTGAAATGTAAGATGTGTTTGTTTCCAATGTCAGCATCTTTGTTGCTGCTACCCATTAATGTGGTACTGTCTTCACCTGTTATTTGCAGATTTCTTTTGACCTGGCTGAATATACTGCAGATGTTGATGGAGTTGGCACTTTACGGCTTTTGGATGCAGTTAAAACCTGTGGCCTTATCAACTCTGTGAAGTTCTACCAAGCCTCAACAAGTGAACTCTATGGGAAAGTGCAAGAAATACCCCAGAAGGAGACTACTCCTTTTTATCCTCGGTCACCGTACGGTGAGAATGCATGGGTACAACCTTGTGTATGTGCCATGTTCTCTTGGCATGGGGCATTCATGTACTTCTGCTTTAATTCCATTCCCGTCTCTCATCTAAAGTCATTTGACTGCGAGATTAACATTAAGATTGGACTAAAATGACTAGACATTGGGAAGCATAATGTTATACACTGCTCACTCTATAAATATTTGCTGCCATTGCCTCCAGGGTGAAATTACCACTTCACTTCAGTGATCCATGTTCATCCAGCCCTTCCATACACATCACTTTGAAAGGAAAATTAGACCCACATGACTTTTTTTATGTAACTGTCGTGAGATTTGCTGAAGTGATAGGTTTCATGTTTTTTATTTCCCCAGTGGAAGTTTCTCTGGGTTCAAATATTTTTTAAAAAGGGGGGGTTCTATTACATCTTATGTATTTGTAAAAAGAGTACTCTTGAAAGACTTAAGTGATCAAACTTATAAGCATCTAGAATATTAAGATTTCGTATTTTTTTTTCACTTTCTAGTTCCTTAAAACTAGGAAAAAGGAAATAAGACCTTAGGTCAACTTGATACATTGCACATACTATCATCAAATCAGTTAGATTGTGGAAGACAGAACTGTGGGTATTACAAAAGTAAAAATAATCTTAAATATTTTCTTGTGCACATGATTAACTGGCAAAGGAATCTTTAGTCTTTGGCTTTGACTCATATCTTTTTCTAACTTAATATATTACACATTAATTTTTGCAAGTTGTTATTGTTTAAGATGAGTGAAAATCACTGTCTTTTATAATAAGATACCACCTTTTATAATAATAACTGTCTTTTATTTGCTTTTAAAAAAATTATTCCAACAGGGGCTGCTAAACTCTATGCCTATTGGATTGTGGTGAACTTCCGAGAGGCATATAATCTCTTTGCAGTTAATGGCATTCTCTTCAATCATGAAAGTCCCAGAAGAGGTCAGTAAATATGTTAATGGACAAGACAATTTCAGACTTTAACAATAACTAAAAAAGTTGTATGTTACATTCTGCATATGTACTGTATAGACTGGGGAAAACGTCACATCTACTTTTAACTACAGTTGGCCCTTGAACAACAGGAGTTTGAACTGCATAGGTTCACTTATACATGGATTTTTTTAGTACAGTACTATACATGCATTTTCCCTTACGATTTTTTTAATATTTTCTTTTTTCTAGCTGTTTATTGTGAGCATACAGTATATAATACATATACAAAATATGTGTTGATCAGCTATGTTATCGGTAAGGCTTCTAGTCAACAGTAGGCTATTAGTAGTTAAATTTGGGGGAGTCAAAGTTATATGCATATTTTCTACTGCATGGAGGGTCACCACTTCTTACCCATCCATATTGTTCAAGGGTCAGCTATATTATGAATGTCAGAAGTGGTAAACGAAGAAATGTAAATCCAGATTTAATTAGTATGTTTGCTAGGTTTTTTATCCAACATGAAAACTAAATACTGTTCTTATTTTACCATTTTCATTGGTAGGTCTTATCAAGCACGTTTTCAACCTAAGTATTAGGAAGTTTCCAAATGAATGGAAAGGAATAAGTAGTATACTAATGCTCGTTTCCAGAAGTCACTCTTATACATGTAGACTCAACTTGTAGAATTTATATATTTTTTTTTACTTTGACTCTGTTAGATATTCAGTATTCTTTCTTTATATTCCATTTAAAGAGACATCCAGATATTACTGTGCTTCTAGAGTATATGTTAAATTTGAAATCAGTGCTTATATTTAGAATCATTATCACTTTTTTTTTTCAGAAAACCATATTTTGTTTGTATTGGCTTGTTTGCTTTGCAGAGTTGCTGTTGAGACTGTTAGCAACATGTGAGCTTTTCTGTTCCAAATAAGAAAATGTATTCTTATCATTATTTCTGATTTGTTGAAGCATGAGAAATTTTTCCAAAACATGTGTACTCTTCACAAAATGAAAATTATCTCTACAACCTAATTCTAAGATGTTTTATGAAATTTCACTATCATTTAGCCTTTTAGCTGGAGAATCAATAGAAAGTCCAATGTTATAAGTTGTTTCATGTCCAACAACTAGTAATGCTTATAACTTTTTCAATGAAATTTTATGTGACTATATAGCTACATAATTAACCTACAAGTCATGAGGAAAGAGTAAAGTGACAGATTTATAAAGGTATCTTTAATGTCAATACATTTTTATTTTATAATTGCATAAGTTAAAAATTCCCATGATATGCTGTTAAAGCATAAGAACCCAGTCTGTCATGCCTGTTGTCCCAAAAGAAAACAACTTAACAAACCGCCAGAAAGATTTCTTTAATTAATTTTGTGGTTCTGGGTGTCCTTAGTAGAGGGAAAAGGAAAAAGCAAGACCTTAGCTCTCCTTGCCCACAGCATTTGGTATGCAGGATGCTCAAGGCACCTGTTCAGTGAATGATAGTCTCTGCTTCTTTCCTCATAAACATGTTTATACCCATTGTTTGGGTTTCTGTGCTTTTCCCCTCTCAACTTCTCTACCTGCAAAACAAAATAAATAAGTAAAAGTCAATTGTTTTGGATCAGGTTAGGACAGGGAAAAGCATTCTTAGTTGCAGGAGGAAAACATACATTAAAATATGACCTTCTCTCAAAAAAAAAATCCTCTATTTGCATATGTTGTAATGAGGACTAATTTTTGCCTTTGTCAGTGTTAAACACTTCTTTAAAAAATTATTTTAGGGACGCCTTGGTAGCTCAGTCAGTTAAGCGGCTGCCTTTGGCCTGGGTCCTGATCCCAGGGTCCTGGGATCAAGTCCCACATCGGGCTCTCTGCTCAGCAGGGAGCCTGCTTCTCCCTCTCTTTCCCTCTGCTTGTGCTCTCTCTGTCAAATAAATAAAATCTTTAAAAAAAATAAAATAATTATTTTAAAATTAATACTTCTTTCTTCCCTCTCACTCCCTCTTACTCCCAGCTCTGTCCTCAGACCCACTAAAACTCCTTCAAAAACACTCCAAGTGTCTTTATCTTAAACATACAGACAGGGTTATTCTATACACAATATTCTACATCGAGGGCTTTTGTTAAATGTTTGTTAAAAAACTTGACCTTGTAGCATACACCATTCTGTTTTGTTTTTATATCTGAAAATCAATATTTAATTTTTTATTTCATTTAATATCGAATAATGAAAAATAATAGTATATGTGGAAACGATGTAATATTTATTTGTTAAGATATCTAATACTTAATACATAGAGCATTTTTTGGAAGTTGGAAATTAATTTTCATATTAACTTAATCCTACCATAATACTATTGTTTTGTCACAGTTACTATTTTCCAAAGAGATTCTCTGCCAGACCGAGAATTCCTTAATGATAGGTCTGTATTATATTTTTGAATCGTCAGCTTATAAAACAATACCTATCTGCTAATAAACATTCAATAAATATTTTTAAATGAGTGAATGAATGTATATCTCATGTTTAGTAAAATGTTACTGACTTGAAAGGTAGGCAGTCTGAATTAGGAGTTATATAAAAGTTTTAAATAAATGTTGTTTTGCTGATTTCATGAATAAGGGTGTAGCTGAAGGCAAGCTATTTTGAAGTAAAGATTCACCCTGGTATACTTCAATAAATAGATAAAATGCATTTCAAATTAATAATCTTAGTCTATATACCTATAATAGCTGTGGTACTTTAAGTTCGTTTATTTTCTTAAGTAGGTCGAACATTTATACATCAGTCCTCTTTTGCCCTGTTATCACAGTGAGCAAATGCTCTTTTTAGATAGTGCAGTGATAAACCTCAATCTAGTTCTAAGGTATATTATCACAAAAGTCCAATTAGTAGAGCCCAATGATGCAGCCTTTTTGGGATGTGTACTTTTTCTCTAACAAAAAATGTTGGACAAGGCCCCTTTTGACTGCAGGAATAGCATTCCATGAGAATTTCTAACTTTAAAAAGTATGGAAGAAGGATTTTTCAACATAAAGGTATTCTAGACCAGAGGTTGACAAATAATGGCTCATGGGCCAAATCCAACCCACCAGCCTATTTTTGTAAATAAAATTTTATTGGAGCACTGACATATCCATCTGCTTGCATATTGTCTACGGCTGCTTTCACAGTAGAGTCCCGTGGCCTGCAAAGCCTAAAATATTTTCTGTCTGGCCCTTTAAGAAAATATTTGCTAGCCTCACCTATAGAATAATTAGTTCCTCAACATCAAGAAACTTTCAGTTAGGTTTAATATTTCCCCCAGGGTAGCAAGATAGTCTTATGCAAGGGATTTCCAATAAATATTAAAGTCAAGGAGAATCAATAGTTAAGACATCCATAAACAGAATTTCTGAAGTGTTTGGGTCCGTTGGGGTTCTGTTATGCTCTATTGAAGGACTGAGGTATAGAACCAAATAAACTAGGAACTGACTGAAGATCAGGAGCATGGTTCATTACAGCAACCCTACCTCCTGAGTTTGACATTGTTCATTACATTTTTGACTGTATTATATGTCTTTTCTCTATTCCAAATGCTTTATGGTTTTCTTTTTTTTTTTTTTTTTGTTTTGGAGAGAGCATGTGCGAGCAGGGGAAGGAGCAGAGGAAAAGAGAGAGGGAGAGAGAGAATCTCAAGCAGACTTCCCACTGAGCATGGAGCCCGACTTGGGACTCGATCTCATGACCCTGAGATCATGACCTGAGCCAAAACTAAGAGTCGGACGCTCAACTGACTGTGCCACCCATGCTTCCCCTTTATGGTTTTCTTTTTAAGTGTACTTATTTTGCTTTGTTATGAGATTATAATGCCTCTAAAGATAGTTGGGATCACCTGTGTTTGGCACAGAATTAACCATTGGAGATTATTGTTGTAGAGAATAAAACCAATAATCCAAAGACTTGGGCTCTATTTCCCATTCAGCCATGCAGTCATTCTTTCAGTTAAGGCAAGATGGTTGATATGCTCATGCCTTAGGTTTGCTTTTTTATAAAATGGAGGCACTTGAGTAATATTTACTACAAATTAATAATGAACAATAGTTAAAATTCTTGACTTATTTGAATTTCCCTGATGGCTAATGATGTTGAACATTTTTTCATGTGTCATTAGCCATTTGTATGTCTTCTTTGGAAAAGTGTCTGTTCATGTCTTCTGCCCATTTTTGACTTGATTATTTGTTTTTTGGGTGTTGAGTTTGAGAAGTTCTTTATAGAACTTGGATACCAGCCGTTTATCTGTAGTGTCATTTGCAAATATCTTCTCCCATTCCGTGAGTTGCCTCTCTGTTTTGTTGACTGTTTCCTTTCCTGTGTAGAAGCTTTTTATCTTGATGAAGTCCCAAAAGTTCATTTTCACTTTTGTTTCCCTTGCCTTTGGAGACGTGTTTTGAAAGAAGTTGCTGTGATGGGTATTAAAGAGGGCACATACTGCATGGAGCACTGCGTGTTAAATGCAAACAATGAATCATGGAACACTACATCATAAACTAATGATGTACTGTATGGTGACTAACATAACATAATAAAAAATTATTTAAAAAATAAGTAAAATAAAATTCTTGACTTACATGTCCATAAAGGGATGAAAATGTATGATGTGTATCATGTTCTGTGAATACTATGTATTATATAACAATATTCACCGATATTCCCAAGGTGCTTTTATTCATAAGCACTCAACTTTTTTAAATAAATGTACTATTTTTTAAATTAAAGTGATAGTTGCTTTATGAGTAAATTGTACAAAATTGCACATATATCTGAAAAGCTTTTTCCTTTCATATTTCAAGTTTCTTCAAACTTGAAATTTTGTATGTTTCATTTATATATCTCTATAGCTATATGTACATAAATACAGTCTTCTGTTTGCCACAAATGTGGCAAATGTGGCTATAGTGACACCTATCTTTTGGAAATACAGATTTATATATTTTCTTTTTTTATATTTTATTTATTTGACAGG